AATCAAACACACTGTTACTAAGAACATACTAACAACTGAAGTGTGTAAACGATTGCATGGACTCTTAAAAACTCAACTCTCTGCTAGAAACCTTGTGCAGGCCATCAATTCATTTGTTATTCCAGTGCTGACATACTCCTTTGGCGTTATTAAATGGAGCAATACCGACCTCGACAAACTCCAGAGCGACAATTCGAACCGCTATGACTCAACACCGAAAAACATCATCCCCATTCAATGTACTGAGCGTTTTACCCTTCCAAGGTCCGCAAGAGTGGCGAGGTATTGTGAGATCTCATAAATCTACACAGCTCTCAAATTGCTTCACTCAGAAGATACTTCTTGGAACATTGTGGTGAGAGTTCAGCAAGCAGTGAGACGCAGTTGATAACTATAGTCCTCCTGAACTTGAAAAAGCTCGATCCGCCTGTTCAACCAATCATTGAAACGGAAGAGAAGATAACCTTATGGAATGCGAAGGCACTGCATGGAAGGTACCCTCACGAGCTGAGTAAACCAGAAGTCGACATCTCTGCGTCGCCACGCATGCTCCAGCACGGGGATATCTTTCCGGAGACAGAAGCCTTCATGATAGCTATCCAGGACCAAGTGGTACCAACACAGAACTACAGAAAACACATTCTGAGAGATTGTACCACTCATTCCGACTCGTGTAGATGTGAGGCTGCAAGCGAAACTATCCAACACGTGTCAAGTGGATGTAGCAGCCACGCACAGTTGGAATACAAAAATAGGCATGTTGAAGTGGCGAAGCAGGTCCACCAATTATTGGCATTGAGAACGGCTTACTCGCCACTTCCGTGCCGTATTATAAATATGTGCCTCAGAATGTGCTTGAAAGTAGTGAGCACACACTCTACTGGGATCGCTCCATTATCACTGACAGACATGTCGGCGGCAATAGACCCGATATAACGTACATTGATGGCTTCTATCAGCAGGTTTTCCTTATCGATATATCAATACCCAATTCCCACAAAATATCGGGAAAATATCAAGAGAAGATTCAGCAGTATACCGATCTCGTCCATGAAGTCGCAACTCAGTGGAACTTCAGTACATTGACGACTGTGCCTATAATAATATCAGCTACAGGAGTGATCCGGAAAATGACACTTCGGGCACTGGAGTGTCTTCACTTGGATGCCAGGAATGTTTATAATATGCAAAAGTGTGTAATTTTGAATACTTGCCGTTTTGTCAGAAGTCATCTGAACCTACAGTAAAGCAACCACACACCTGGTCATCATTCCTGTGTGTGGTTGACATACCGACCAGTAGATACTGTGAATAATAATAATAATAATAATAATAATAATAATAATAATAATAATAATAATAATAATGTCGGCCCCGTGGCGCAGACGGTTGTGGTAGCCGTCGTCTGTACCGAGGAGGCTGCAGGTTCGAGTCCTCCGTAGACATGGTCATATTTGTGATTGTCCCTTCACCTATCATCAACCTATCATTTCATAATTCACACCTCAAAGCGTAACAACATTGTTGTAATCCAAGGATACAGCTGAAAAGCTGATCCTGGAAGAATTACGCACGTTAATCGTGTACCGTGGTCAGTAATGGCCTATACGCCAATACTAATAATAATAATAATAATAATAATAATAATAATAATAATAATAATAATTATAATTATAATGAATGTAGGTCACTATATGTTTGTATGTGTGTCTATTTCATCACCATTTCACCTCATCCCCCAGGGCTTTCAGGGCATAAAAAAATAAAATGGGTCATGAAATCCTGATCCCCCAATGGAAAAGTTTCGTGCACCTACCCTGATAAACACGACTGAGACCCGGTGGGATGTCCCATGTTGGCCGATTCGCGAAATAGAAAAAAAGTGATGATATCGAGCTAGCTAAAATTTCGTCCAAGTTGTTTATAAAAAATCACTGCCATGTCGAAAGTTGATTTTATTTATTTTTACCTAATGGACTTCAAATGGAAGTCATGGAAATCTAATGGAAGTCAAAACGCTGACTTGAAACGCAAATTGAACATCCAATTTCGAACCTCCGTTATCGAAGATCTCATGCTGAGTGTACAGTCGTGGTCATATTCTGGAAGTAACGAACTCTAGTTCTGAAACAACGTTATTTCTTTCTTTCGTGGTTACTTTCTTCTCTGCTTACGGAGGAGGGATGTGGATAAGGACGTAGGATGCGAGGATACACAAGCCGGTAATGTAGTGGCGTTCGGGCCCGCATGGCCCGCGATAAGGGCGGGCCCGGGTAGAGGGCCTAGTTTTAGGAGATATTTTTATTGTTTTAGTTACTAATACTGCTTGTGTTTGCTACACATTTTTGTGATAAAAATTGTGCGGGCAGGTTGGGATTTATTTCGTTACGGTACTGTGGTAAAGTATGCAGTCCGCAGATTTAGTGGACAAGTAAAACATCGTGATAATATATAATGAAATATTAAAACACAATGAGTAACTTTTTTCTATTTATTTATCAATAAATATAATTAAATGAGTAAAACAGTGGGCGAAGGGAGTCATTGATTCCAATTTTCTATGAACTGTTATTACTGTATATACCGTAATTACTCGTATTGTCATGGCACTCATCAAAGAAATGGATCGCAATTTTTTGACATACGTCATTCTGAGATGGAATTAACTTTTTCTCAACATTTTATTTTACAGTTATGCTGTAAAATAATAGAATAAATTACTCGCTTGCAAATTAAAGATTGTAAAATACATATGTTAGTGCTTTTTGAGCTACGCAGACATTGTGTCAAGGTTAGCAACATCGCGCAACTTGCTTCCCATGGAATTTGTAGCTCAATATATCTTTAGTTCCATAAAGTTAGGCAAGTGTCGGTAACCTCTGGCGCTACAGTTCTTGGAATTTCACGTAAGTTCACTTTGCTCGTTTAATTTACAACGCTATTAAACAAATCCGTAATTAACAATATTTATCTCCTGCGGAAGCAAAGCTTCGAAAGCAAAGTAGTACAGGGAGGTTAAGCCCAAATGAAGTGTGTTACGGACCTCCCAACGCGGGATCGGTTTCTGCCGAGTTTCCAGTTGCGTTCAACCATGGCTCATTTCCTTCCATTGAATATCAAATTCAGTCACACGTTTTTTAATTGAACAATTGTAAATTCTTTTTCCAATAACCTTTTACATTGCTGTTTACGTACGTATTTACTGAGTAATGTGCGTAGTTGAGGGAAAGGTACGTAAAAAATTAAGTGCCAAACCTTGATAACAAAAATAGCTTAAATCCAGTTTTAAAAAAATAGTGGTGCTGCCAAAGCACGTACTTTCTCGCATTATTTTAAGTGCTCCGCAACATTATACTACTACATAAACTAGCAAAAGTGTTTTCAAGTAGCAAATTCATATTCCTCTCTGAGACTCAAACTAATGTGCTAATGTGCTGACACTCATACCACTACGGCACAGAAGCGCCGCATGGATCAAACTCGGGCAAAGGCATAAAAAGGGAAATACCTCATTCATGTAAAAAAACTTCATCAATTAAAATATCCCTCAGAAACTACCAAAGCCTCCAGTGCGTTCAGATCAATCAGGGAATATGAATTTTAAAGAAAATTAAGTGAACGGTTTAGACGCTAGGGTTGACTACAGACGGATAGACAGATAAAAGACAGACGAACATATTGCCGTCAATCAATGTTTCGGAATGTAGAACTAACAAATCATGGATTTTCGCTACACCAGGAGTTAGAGGATTTGTTTTCTAAATTCAGCAACAGGATTTATTCAATTGTACCTTACCAGAACTCAGCAATAATGTTTTTCTTGCGAAATTTCGGCATTTTCTGGCGCACGATTACATAACTTTCTCTCTTACGAAGAATTTGTAAGGATAGAAAGGAAAAAAGTAATAATAATAATAATAATAGTAATAATAATAGCAATAGTAATAATAATAATAATAATAATAATAATAATAATAATAATAATAATAATAATTTCGGATTTCTTGGATAGATATAAGTTTGTTCCATGGGTACTGGTTATTCATTGTTTTACTTGAACCGGTTTATATAGGTGAACAAATCCTCAACAACTGATTTAACGCGACATAGGTTTTACAAATCCAAAAAGATATATGAAAATTTGTTTAAAAGTTAAAAATTCGAAAATTACATTCAGAAACTTGAGAGTTTATTTATCTTCATTATTTGCGATTAGAACTGCTTAAAATGGTTTTCAATAAAGTTTCTGGAATCCTCAATTATTTCCTGTAGCAACACAGAATTGACACAAATAATAACTCCCGTCCAAGACTGGAACCAGCGAACACCGAAGAGCTAAGCCCGTCCCCACTAATTCAGACACCTCGCCCATCTCGTTAGAACATGCGATAAACATTTCTAAAATAGTTATATAAGTATGGTGTTATATGGAACTAGCGCCATGTATCTTACCCCTGATGTGGGTGTTAAGGGCTCGCCCCTATCATCCTTCGCTGCCAATTTTTTCATGGAAGCGTTCCAGACCGAAGCTCTACGGAACGCCCAATACAAACCGTCTCTTTGGATTCGTTATGTGGACGACACACTTATAATCTGGCCACGCGAACCGGAACTATTAGAGGAATTTCTACTTTTCCTGAACGGCATTCATCACAACATCAAGTTCAATCAGCATTCATCACATCAGCAAACGGGAAGACCTTGGGACACTCGGTCTACCGGAAACTAACCCATACGGACAGACACCTCCACGCGGATTCGCATCACCATCCGGGTACAAAACTAGGGTTGTTGAAGACACTGATCACAAGAGCTCTGAAGGTGTGCGACGAGCGCTCCCTTTCTGATGAACTCCAGAAGCATGAACTCACGTGTAGAGCTAACGGCTTCTCCCGATCTGCGATCAAACGAACGCTCGCCTTTGCTACGGGCCACTCTACAGGGCGCGGTGGTTCCAATGTTCGCGGCAACGACGAAGGTCCTTAAAGACGTGTTACCACCTCTCCAGTCGGCGGCAGGCGTAGACGAAGTTCCCTACAGCTGTGGCGGAATGTAGGTCCGTGAGACTGGGTGCACAGTGTCTGAACGACTCAGCGAATATATCATCCATTCCAACAAGAACCAACCCAACTGTTCGGCTATAGAACTCCATTCCGATGTCACTGCTCATGCCATTGAATTTGACAAGACCCGGCTCCCGCACAGGAACGATACGAGAACCGGTACGAGCCTAGACGCATCAAAGAGGCGTTAGAAATTAGTAGACGGCCGCACAACATCAACGCAGATGCAGGCCTCAATAGCCTACGCAACCACTCGTTTTGAGGGTCCTTGATTCCGGAAATGTGTTTTTTAACACCCGTCCGTGTGTCCATCGAATCTTCCATCTAACCGTCCGTTCAACCGAGCGACCGTCCGTCCAACCGAGCGACTGTCCGCTCAACCGAACGACCGTCCGTCCAACCGAGCGACTGTCCGCTCAACCGAACGACCGTCCGTCCAATCGAACGACCGTCCGACCGAGCGAACGACCGTCCGAACGATCAAGTGATGCCATTCCAGTGCCTTTGACCGGGAAGTCTTAAGTTGGAGTCCTGATGGTGGCATGATTTTCAACACTAGCTTATCAGCCAGATTGTCTGCATATAATTAATTTAAAACTTGTCCCACCTAGCGTGGCAAAATTATTCAATTGCATTTAGTTATATCTCTTCCCCATCATTTTTAAATGATCATTAATTTAAGTACAATTTATTAATTTATAATTAATTTATTAATTAAGTACAATTGTATTTCAGGTGAATAACTTGACACCCAAATTAATTGATTAACTTATTTTCAATTTTACTATAAGAATTAATTTTAATAATTGTTGCAATACATTGCATCATTATGCTTAAGGCAGCAGCAAAATTGTTCAATAAAACCATGTTAAAAGCATAATATTTCAATCCTTATATTGCTAGACAAAATTAATCAATACTTAAACATGGTGACAATGATACCGACTAAGATGTATTAATCTTTTCTCAAGTTTAGAAATGTTTATAAACATTCTGTATATAATTGTTATTTGTAAAGCTGTGTTCATGTAATTGCATATTTTTGGAACTGATATCCCTCACAAACTTGAAATATGCCCTAGAGCAAAATATTAGTCTGAGATACAAAACTTTTTACATATAATGCAGATTTTGTGTATTCTAGAAATTTGGAGCATTTAGTTCTGTTTATTACACTTTTTCATTTTTCATTACACTTTTTCAAATAACATTTATTATTGATAAATAAATAGAGATATTGTCAGGTATCAATATTTTAATTCAACTAATGATCATTTCGATCGCCGTAGCGATCATCCTCAGAGCTAAAAACAATACAAATATACAATGTGAAATATTAAACAGGTTGGTATTGTATACAAGATGCGTAGCAAACTGGATCGTACATACCTTGCAGCTTCTGGGCCGAAAACAAAGTCTGCGAATTTTTGAGCGTGTGTCTTGTTTAAGAGCACAGCCGCGTCGCAGCGGGAGGGGCGGAAGAGGGGTGGGGTGCGGGTGGAAGGTCGTAAAATGTGGGGTGCTGGTGGATGCTTGAGAACGGTCGGGCGAGCGAAGGTTAGTGGGGTGGGGAGGGCTGGGGGTGGGTTAGGGGTGGTGTACACTTTGTGCTAATTTTAGCAGAGGTGAAGAGAGTTCAGGGATCTGTTTGTTAAGACATGTCATGTTCTGTTTTTTGAGGGTTTGTGTATGTGTAAGGCTTCTAATTTTATTCTGTTCCAGTACCTGTCTCTCAATTTCTAGAATTCGGAAATTTATGTGTTTATCAAATGTGTGTTTGTTTAAATTTAGGGTGATCCGCAAAGCTGTGAGACTGTGGTAGTGTTTTTTTCCATGCTTGTTCGTGTTCTTTGATTCTCTTGTGTGAATTTACGGCCTGTTTGTCCTATGTATATGGCATTGCATTGTTGCACCGTGAGAGCATAGACTCCGCATAAGGATGTAGGTGGGATTGTGTCTTTAGTGTTGCATAGTGTTTTGTATAATGTATGAGTGTTGTTGAAGAGAAGTTTTTAGACGAATTTATTGAGTGTGGAGGGCTATTTTTCGAGAAAGGGTCCTATATAAGGGATTGTGAGGTACTTGGCTGTAGTGTTTCTGTCCAATGGTGTGAGAGTAGTGTGTTTGCGGATATTGAGTGTATTTGTTTTTTTGACTATTAATTTGTCAATCATGATGCAGTCGTCAAATTAATGGTCAAAAAAAAACAAATACACTCAATATCCGCAAACACTATTTTAACTTTGTTAAACATAGACCTGTAGGTAATTATTAGAAGTTAAAGAAAACAACAAATGTGCATAAATACAATGGATTTAAGTTGGCATCTTGATCATATTCCATATTCTAAAGGAGTAAGCACTGCGTGCGATATTGTTATTACACGAGGCTACGTGTTCTTTCAAAATGTTCATGTACACACACGTCTGGTTTTTACTATGTGAGCAAATTTATAGCATTCACAGATGCAGGATTTCAGGATTTCTTAGAAGGATTTCTTCGAAGTGAGATAACCTAATTAATTTGTCTTCATTTTAATGTTTTTGTGGTCTAGGGCACTTATGAGCACACTTGTTGGCGTAAAATGTATAAAAAAATAATGTAAATAATTAATTCAAATACAATGTAGCATTTGTAAATATATCCATCAAGTGTTTTTATCATATCAATAACCCAAATTTATTATTTCAAATTCTACCATATTTGTTCATTTTCCTTTTTGTGGTTTTCATAATTACAAAGCATTTATCAGATTAATGTGATTGAGTTGAATTGTATTAATTTATTCAGATCCTATTTTCACTGAAGTCCTTTGCAACTTACAGCACTCAGCTATCAATAAGTAAAGATTAAAACTAATCAATTCCTTATTTTGAAATGTAAAAAATTAAACTTTCATATAATTATGGTTGTGTGCCACAAGTTGCAGATGACTTTAAGTGAAAAGAGGGGCCAAATACTACAAAGTAATGAATTAACAATATTTTTTAAAAATTTGAGTTTTGTTTAATTTTGTTTTTGTTGGGTAGGGAACTTGAGATTTCAGTACTTGCTAATAAATGTTAGTAGAGAAAATATTTGTCAAAAAAATATGAAATTATTTTGATTTAATCTTAATGTATCTATTTCTATTCGGCAACTGCATTTAGTGTTAGGTTTCAAAAAAAAATAATGGAAGTGCTTTCACATTTTTGCATTTCTTAAAGTAATGTAACAATTTCTGAATTCAAATTTAAATTCTAAGGTATGGGTATAAAACAAAGCAAAACTCTCCAAGCAAACATGTGGGTTGATGTAAGTTATTCCGTTGTTGGTATAAACATTTTTTGTTGTAACTGAAGCGAAAAAATGTGGGTTGTGTAACCAGTCACCGAAGTTCGAAGAGAATCATCCACGAACTGCAAACGTTTTATAGTTCAGAATACCATGGTAGAGCTGGGTACCACCGGACACATCGGTGGTTTAGGGCCCCACGGAGGTCTACGCACGGCGCCTACGGTGCGTCAACCACAAAAATAGCTGGGCCAAATTTTACTAATGATTCTGGTTGTGTGAACCCTATTTCAATGTGCGGTAAGCATTCCTTTTTTAGTGTACGTATACGAGAATGTATACGAGTGTGTTGTGATGCGGAAAATAGCGAAGCATTACCTCAAAAATCCCAGCCAGGCCACAAGAGAACCGCCTGCTTGCCTGCCTCGCTCCCAGCCCGCTCCTCTGACTTCCGACCGGAATGCTTCCGTGCCCCTCGAAGCCGACGCCCCCATTGGCGGCGGCGGTGGTGGCGGTGGCATAGCATGGGGGAGGGGGTATTGTATTTGCCAAATTTCACTTTACGACGCGCCTATTCACCCGATTTGGACGATTGATTCGGCGTTGGATTCAAGAAGCACTACGCCATCGCGCTACAAGCCCACATTTTTGATTTTCTTCCCAGAAATATTCCAAAAAACTTTCCAAAACTCATTTTTAATTTTTTTCCAAAGAGACTTCGTAGCGTAAATTCTATATCCTATGTCTTTTACTGATTGAAAATCGGACCACTTGTTCAGACGTTATTAGTAAAGTAATTTTGGCTTATTTTGGTGCTGCTACGTGGTGGCGACAAATTGAATTAGTGTCAGTATATTTAACCTTATGTGCACCGTATGAAGTTTCTTTTTCAGCTTCCTTAATAATAGCATTGCTATGCGATATCATTACAACTGACGTCGATAGTCAGTCTGCACTTCAAACTAATAGGAGGCAAACCGATGTGGATTTTACTATCTGACGTGAAAGCTCTTGCGCTAGAAATCTGACACTTGTTCACAGAAGTAGCATAAAGTTCCTGGCGCTGCTGATGCATCAGCAGCGCCTTTTGCCCATTGCAGGACGCGCGGAGGTTACGTAAAGTCTTGATGCAAAAGGCAGATGCTCAGAAAACACTATTTCTAAAACCCAATAGCACTTCAAAATTTGGATATGTTGGTTTTGCATGGTGTTCCACCAGCCGGCGAAAAATCATGGGAATCCGAGTATTCTGCAGTTGGGCGTTAGTGTAACTTCTCTATTTTTACTTTCTCGCTAGCTCGTATGTAGTAAAGAGAACGTTATGTTCACCATTCTGCCTATTTTCTTCAAAATTAATATTTCTTAACCGATCTGGATAATGTCGCGTCCCCATGAATTAAAAACCGAAATTTTGCATAACGTTTCTGGAACATTTTTAAAATGTTCAAAAAAATGTCTCCATTGTTTTTCATTAAATTTTTATTGTTGAATATTGCAAAGGACGTTTATGAGAGTGGTGCAGGTGTCATGTCCGTTGAAAAACCTAATATTTCGAAAATTGCAAAAGGTCAAATTTTTTGGCGTCTTCCTACAAGTAAAATATTTAAGAAGGATGATTTTCCCTCAATAAAATCTGTTCCTTAAAGATATATTTTGAAATTAGGTACAAGTTTTCAAACATTTGAATATTTTTCGCGTAATTTTGCGTGAAAATACGGGCGAGAAAGTACGTGCTGTTTCGGCACCACTAGTTAATGATACGGAAGCAGTATGGCTGCGGTGAGAGCGAAGGCGAAGCTGTTGACCTTGTGGGCGCAGGGGATTCCCCGAGATCCCTCAGCCGCAGTCCCGGGCCACTCGCGGCCGAATTGACACTAATGTTCTCTGGAGTTTA